TCCCAGATATCTTCTTTGGACAGCTTGATAAGTGTATCAATCTCAATTTCCTTATCTCCAATTTGGCGACGAAGCTTTTCCACTCTTTCCTTGGTCAAAGACCACAATGGCATACCAAGCAAATAGTCGAAAGAATTAGCGGCAAGCTCCGTATCCTCGCTGTCGCTACTTTCCTCGTCGTCCCGATTCACGACAGGTGCCTTTTCGCCTTGCTTGGCAGCGTCAGAAACCTTAGCTATAGCTTTGAAACCCTTCTCCTTCAGCTCTTGCACCAACTGTGCCTTTGGCTTTTTCGAAATAACAAGCTTCCCGTCGATAATCATCTGAACAAACCGAGCTTGGTTGCTCAGTTTCTCCAGATCTTTCTGCATCTGGGAAAGTTGATGTTGCTTCCGCTTTTCATATAGCTTAATCCTGACAGAATAGAATTCTTGAAGGATATGCTCGGGGGACTCGTACTTGGTGATTCGCCCTTCGGAATCAAACGCCACGAGATTTGAAGTGGCGAGGGTTTTGGTTAGTTTGAGCTTCTCTTCCAGGCCTTCAGCGATTGTCTTCTTTGCGTGCTTCTCATCCAACTGAATTACAAAGTGGACTTTGGTATGGGTATTGTAGTCCTTGTAGTCCTTGATGAACGAGGGGATTTTTTCCGCCTTGATGATTTCCTCGAGACGATCTTTAAAGTCCTGCGTCCAGGAACGGATGGGTAGCTCGGTGATTTCGATTTCATTGTCTCCAATTTGCGAGAATCTCCCGCTAAATTTGTACCGTTCCCCACCCATCGAGACAACCTCCCCAGTAAACCCTCGGAACCAAGGCTGCATAGGGACCACAGGTTCACCAACCATGAGACGCTTTATATTCGCGACAATTTCCTCAGGATTGTAGTTCGGAATGGAAGTGCTCCAGCCAGTTCCGATGCCGTCAGCACCGTTGATCAAAATCATAGGCACAACGGGGAAGTAAGTCTCCGGCTCGATTACCTGGCCATCATCAACGTTATATGTCAGCAGAGGCCCATCTGCTTCGTGGAATATTCGTCTGGCAAACGGTGAAAGTCGGGTATAGATATAACGTGGGCTAGCAGCGTCAGATCCACCTTGCAAACGAGAACCGAAGTTTCCACTTGGCTCCAAGCAGTTGATATTGTTTGATCCTACAAAGTTCTGAGCTAGGCCGATAATGGTTTGCTGTAACGACGCATCTCCATGCTGATAGGCAGTCAGTCCAAGAACGTAACCACTGAGCTCGGCTACTTTCATATCTTTTTTGACATTGAGCTTGAAGCAGGTATATAGGACTTTACGTTGTCCCGGTTTCAAACCGTCAATAACGGAAGGGATAGAACGGATGTTGTCAGCCATACTGAAAAGGATAAGTTCCTTGTTGATGAAATCAGTATAGGTGATCTCTTCAGTCGTATGGTCTAGGAAAGTACCAGGCTTAAACTGACGAAGCCACTCTTTCCGCTCATCGGCCTTTTTCTTTGAAAATGCAAGATCTATAAGCTCTGCCTCATGATCCCGCATGACATGGAATTGCTTCAGATGCCTGTCCAAGTCACGGAAATAAATTTCGGCGTCATCTGTCGTACTGGTACCCAAACCCTTGTAGTACTTCTTTTCCCACCGTTTATCGTGGCCATGGATCTCTAGCCATGTTTCGTATTCTTGCATTGTGAAAAAGGATTTGGATATCGTTGGGTTCTTCGGATCTCCCTTCCACACTTTGACGATGGGTGTGATAAATTCGATCAAGAACTGGGGTATTTTAAGCAAACTTGGGAATGCAACTTGGAAAAAGTTGATCAATAGGCCCTTGATATGGCTTCCATCATGATCCTGATCAGTCATTATCATGAGATGTCCGTAGCGGAGGCCCTTGGTGTCGGTATATTCTTTCTTGTGTTGGAGCCCGAGGAAATTTTTGATGTTTTGGATTTCTGCATTTTTAGATATCTGATCAACAGAGGCGTCCCGAACATTGAGCAGTTTTCCGCGCAAAGGGAATACACCAAAAAGATCAGGTCCAACAATGGCTCGGCCGGCCATAGCCAGTCCCTTTGCAGAATCTCCTTCAGTCAGAATGAGAGTACAGTGATGTCCGTCTTTCGTTCCAGCTTTATTCGCATCAGTTAGTTTCGGGTTGTTCATGCGTGATCGTCGATTGCCGTCCGACTTTTTCAGGATTTGATCAGCCTTCTTCTCAGCGAAATGCATAATATTTTCCATCACTTGCGTTTTCAGGATCTTTTTGAGGAAATCATCCGACAAGACACATTTGCTGCCAAACTGGCTCGGCTTCGTTGTCAACTGTTCCTTAGTCTGGGATGTAAACGCAGGGTTGACGATCTGCGAGTTCACAAATACAAATATGTGATTTCGAATTTGGGCTGGTTTAAGGGTGGCACCGGTTTTGTTCTTCTTTTTAACCACCTCCACAAGTTTGTTACAAATCTGGTCGGCAACTGTATTGACATGGGAGCCGCCTGATGTTGTCGCAATGGAGTTAACAAATGAAACCTGCTGAAACGAACCATCCGAGACAGCAAACCCGATTTCCCATCGGGGGTCTGGGTTGTCAGTGATGATCTCGGATTTGTCCCTGCAAGCTTCTTCACCTCGCTCTTTTTTGATGGCATTAGTATACATTTGCATATACTGTTTGAAATTGCGGACGGGGACGCGCGATCCGTTTAATTTAACTGTGACCTTGCAAGTCCCTGCCAGGTCATAGACTCGACGCTTAACCAGAGCCTCGAAGTCGTCATCGATCCCGTCCATTCCGAACTTCTTGAAGTCTGGAGTGAATGTAACCTTGGTATAGTCATCGCCTTTGCAATCCGTTATCTTTGGCTTTCCCATCTTGGACATATTGTCGGTCCATGTTTGTTTGTATTTCTTCTTTAACTTTGAGTCTGCGGTTTCGAGAGTAAATTCCGTGCTGAAGATATTACAGAGCTTGGCACCATAACCGTTACGCCCACCAGTCACCTTTTGTTGGTCGTCATTGTAGTTGGACGAGGTAAGGAGGTGACCGAAAATCAGCTCAGGTATGTAGACTTTTTCTCTCTAAAATATTCCAAGATTCATTAGTAGGGGGCAGTGGTATGGGGCATTGGAGAGAATGTGTACCGAGTGTATCTCAATGGGAATGCCGCGACCATTGTTCCAGACACTTATTTCGCCAGATTCCCTGTTTACCGTGACCCGAATCTCGTCCATGTTTTTATCGTTGTGCCTATTATCGGCAGCGTTGACCAGAATCTCATCAAATATTTTGTAGAGACCAGGCACATACGAAACTTCTCGAAACTCCATTGACTCGGATTCTGAGTTGTAAACCCACATTTGGTTCGTTGACCGCTCGATAGAGCCGATGTATGTGTCTGGTCGTTTAATGATGTGTTCTAGTTGGGTAAGCTAGGTACATTGTGAAGTTAGCATGACCGCCCCTGCCGGGAAAAAAGGACATCAGCGACATACTTTCTGGTACCTCTCACTGCTCTCCTTTGGGGTAGCTGCGCCATCCATTCCGAACGATTCATTTTCCACATTCCCCAGGGGCTTGCTAGATGTCTTTTTGGAACCCCCAGATTTCTTCCCCTTCGCAGCAGCATTTGGGGGAGTAGCTGAGAGTAAGGACGCGACATCGTCACCGCCAGCTTCATCGTAATCTGAAAGTTCTTCCTCGGTGTCTACTTTCGCCTTCTTTTTGGTGGCAGCTGCACCTTTCGGCTTAGCAGAGGCTTTAGCCGTCTTTTTCGCAGGGGCTCTGGGCTTGGTCGCTGTAGCAGCTTTCTTGGGAGCCTTTGCTTTGGACTTCTATAGGAATGGATTAGCAAGGCATACACACCATTCAAAATTACTGAAAGGGGTCAGGTCAGGAGGCGGCCACAAGTAAGGATAGAAATCCATACCGGCACCTCTGGGATGAAATCAGAACTAGCACCATCGTCCTCGAAAACGGAGTCTATTGGGGAGTCCATCCTCACCGGAGTGAGATGGATGTCGAGGTCGACAAATGGCAGCGCGCGGGGAGAAACGAACGAAAGCGGAGGGCAATATCAATGCGCCAGACGCAGCGTCAAGCACTCCTGGCAGAAAGCGGGCGCTGATGAGGAGGCAAGGCGACAAGAAGAAGGGGAGAGTAGAAGCGAGCGTCGTCGTTCGTTGTCGTTGTTGATGTTGAAAGGTGTTGAAGAGAGGAAGGGGCAGTAGTGCCGCGTCTTGTTTGTTTAATGTTTGTTTTGCAAATCGCGATTTTTGCCCCCGGATGTTGCTGCATTGGGCCAGGACTTTGCTGCTTTGGGTGCCATTATTGTAGATGACTCAGCATTTGATGGTCCAACTTGGAAATTTGACAACAGAACCAATCTGCTTTAAGACTAGTGCGTAAATATCTACCTGGTAACCTCGGCGACGATCACAACAACATTTTGATAGTCATTCCTATCTTATTATTACTGAAGCAGGTGAAATGTTCTTCCTGCTTTGTATGATTTGCTAATAATTATAATTATTTCTACATAAGCATCAAACGCTCGCTTACGCTCGCTTTGCTGCTTGCGCAGCCCCCCCTACCACTTCCACCCTCTACCTCTACCCCCCCCTTCCACCCCCTCCACCCCTACCCCCTTTACCACCACCACCGCCCCTACCGCCCCGCAGCCCCCTCTACCACTTCCACTCTCTACCTCTACCCCTCTACCTCTCTCTTACCACCCCGACCACCTCTATCACTCTAATCACTCTCTTCCATTCTGTATCATCTCCATCACCATTATCAGATTAATCAGAGCTGTACAGGCTGCAGAGCCAGCTGTTCAATCCCATCTGAATTCAAAGGAGTGCACATGACATCACATGAGATCATGTTACAGAGCATTTGGCAAAATGAACATAGAGAAGAGTATAAAGAATGTAAATACTGTAGAGAATGTATGAAAGAAGCAGAATGAAAAAAAGAATGAAGATTTGAAGATTGATCTGAGCTGTATAAGTCAGGGCATTCAAATATTTTTTTGATAGAATGTACATGATATCACATTACAGTGTTTTTTACATGGAAAAGTTGGTTTTTCTATAATAAATAGAGTATATTAATGAATGTATAGGTTGTAATGAATGTAGAGAAGAGTATAAAGAATGTAAATATAGTAGAGGACATCTGTAAAGCAAAGAATGAATATTAATATCAGAGTTATACAGGCCGCAGAGCCAGCTGTTCATGAATTTGATGAGATGCACATGATATCATGTGAGGTCACATTACAGGGCATTTTACTCAGAAAAGTTGGTTTTTCTATAATATATAGAGAGAAAGCTGGTTTTTCTATAATATATAGAGAGAAGAGATATATAGAGAGATATATAGAGAGATATGATCTCACTCACTATATAGTGAGTGGTAAGTGTTACACAAAATCACACTGCTGAATTTTTCATCATCATTCCCACATTTATCATCTATCTCAACACGATTGAAAGACCTCAAGAGACTGAAAAATACATAGAAGCTGTCATAGAATTCAATGAAAAATTCTCTGACCTTAACTATGCTGCTTTTATCTATCAATTCAATGTTCTCTACTTGAAGAGCTTATTGAAGAGATTATTTGCATACATAATACAACGATTTGTAGAAGTGCAGAGACTCTATAGAAGATCACATGCTGATGGAGTGATTGCCACTACAATGAAGTGTGTAATAGTTTTCAAAAACCTCATCACTGAATATGCACGGTTATAAAAGTACTGGAAACAGAAATGAATCAAAATAGAAACTCTTAAGATATATTGAGAATATAGACCAGACTCACTGCAAGGATGGAACAAAGCATGTTTGTGAAGCCAATGAATTAGCCATTTTTGAAAAATACAAGAAGCGGCGGCTGAAAGAAGTAAAATACATCAGTAATTCTTCTGATCATATCTCACCTCAAAATGAAGACCACCAGGATTACAGAGTTGTGCGGGGGAATCGACGGAATGAAAATGAAATAGTATAAGGCAACTGATAGAAAAGCACAGGGAAACATACAGCAAAGAAAATCATTTCCCTGATGAAACTACGGCTCACTGAGGTAGACAAGACGTGTAAAACATATAGAGCATAGAATAAACAAGATAGGAAGCGCATAGATTCCACATGTGGCAGAGTGATTGGGCTTAATTTTTTATCATGCTGTAGTTTGTGGGGGGGGAAAAAAAAAAAAAAAAAAAAAAAAAAAAAAAAAAAAAAACCGAAAAAAGTGTTACAAAAGAGTTACAAAAGAAAAAAAGGAATTTCGTATCTCTCTTTTTCTTTATATCATTATTAAAAAGCATTGAAATCAGGTGGCACATTTCCCACTAGGAATGGAGTAAGGAACCCGCAATCCATCAGGTAGTTAATCAAGAAAAGGGCGGCTATGAGAGCGTGTGGAGGTAGGGAGGGTAAGAGTAAATGGCAGTAGAGCCGGCAGGGGGCTGAAGATGTAAGCATCGGGGATATACGATGATGAAAGGGTGCTTTGGACGGCATCGTACTGCATGCGTGAGACAGACAAACTAGCCAAAAAGCACCCTTTAAAAAAACCCTCACACGCCCCTTGAAAGTGAGAGAGGAGAGAGTCAGTCAAAAAAATAGACCCAACATTTGGCCGTGACTGGGCATTAAATGGTGGCATGTCTATGCGTGTGCAGATTGCAGATTGCAAGGTGACTGAATCCCCTTGCAGAAGTCGCCCCTCAATCACACTAGCCCATCATACAAAGACAAGGCGCTGACGATGGTTTCATCTCTCTTGCTTCCCTCTTTGAATTCCGCGAGGTCTAAGCTTCCATTCTCATCTTTATCCATCATGCGAAAGATCTTTCTCACCCGCTTCTCGGGCGTATCTTCGTCTTCGGGTAGTTTAACCATCGACCCAACCTAGAACACGCAATCCGGCACCGTTAGATTTTCAAAAGCTATAAACACATATAAGAGTGTATTACGCAAAAGAAGAACCATATACCATTTTATATATAGCCTCAACGATAGCCAGCATTTCTTCGTAGGTTATTTTCCCATCACCATCTATATCATATAACTGGAAAGCCCAGTCCAATTTATCTTCCATTCTTCCTCTAGAGGTGATGGACAACGCGCAAATGAACTCTTTGAAATCAATCATGCCGCTCTCATCGGAATCGAAGACTCTAAAAACGTAATTCGCGAACGAGGACGGGTCTCCAAAAGGGAAGAATTGCCGATAGATCTTTTGGAATTCTTCCTTCGTCAAGGTGCCAGAGGGGCAGTCCTTTAGAAAACCTAAGTGACCATGATTACACGTGTCAGCAGAAAGGCGAACAGAACCTTTCATATCAACCATCCCATGTCCTCGCGGCTTAATTGTGGAACAAGAATGAATACCTTTGTACCACTGCTGTAATTCCTTTCTATCAAAGTGGGTTGCTTTCTGCAGTTCGTCCAGTTGTGAAGGGGAGAGTTTTGACTGTCTTCATGACAAAACATCGAATAGTTAGCACTTGTATCTTGTATATTAGACCTATCATTTGTGGTGGGGTGAGCTCCAGCACCGCTCCGTAGACAAACATATTGCGTGCATGTAGGGATTTCAGAATGAACCGACTAGGAGCAAGCCCCCGGTAAATGGCGTAAACCAGCCTATGAAGATAACGGGGGTAGGAGTCTTGGGTGGGGGGGGGGGGGGGGGGGGAAGAGGAATTGACGCGGGAAAGCGCTGTGAAACATTCTGGGAGAACTGGGTGCTCACGATTTCCCCATGGCTGCGAATGGCGGAATAAACAGCGACTGAAAAGCAGTTTCTCGTCCTCAATCTTAGAATCTTTGCATGGAAACAGGCGTCTTAGGAAGGAAGTGTATATTGCGATATTTGAAAGACCTTGGGCGGGGTAGATGTTTGAGCTGACGGTTCGCAAGCGGGATAGATAGCGGGGAACGTACGGGGGGAAATGCGCCGTATAATAGAGAAATCGTTGTATTTAGCGAAGTTAGGTGTTATACGGGATGGTTGGACTGATGTGGACGGCGAACGAGGAGGCGGGAGAGGAGGAATAGGGAATAGGGAATCAGGGGAGGGGGAACGGATGCTGAAGATAAGTTGTTGGTTGGATGGCATCGAGGCGACGTTGGCCTGGGTTGGAAAGGCTGAAAATGGTCTAGATGGGGAACATTGCCCAAAGCGGGTTAGTCTCGGGTTCAATGCTGACAAACTTTGCGGCTCAATCTGACGTGCCGATTCGGAAAAGTTCAAAGGACTATGCCAACTTTGGGTCGCTTGCCCTAATTATTATAACCAGATCTGCTTCATCCCACCTCACTTGACAGACTGTCTAATAGGTTGTACACTGTACATGATGCACATGCAAGTCACAATGTATGAGTCTCAGGCTAAAACAAAATTTCTTCTCGTGATCCCTCGGCGGATGCATAGAATGGCATCAATGGGGCTGCCCCGTCAGGTGGGGCGTGCAAGGCTGCAACCAACCGACTGGGCTATCTTTGTACGGGTTTGATGAAAGGAAGCAATAGTGTTTGACCCTGCCAGTCTCTTCAGTCTCATGTCTGTTCCAAGCCGACCAGATCCATGGTAATGCCCAAGTTAATGAGGCTTTTGTTGGACTAATCCCATTTTAAAGATCAAACAATAATGGAGAGAACTATATATGTACATGTACATTACATACAGTACTTATTAGGGTTTCAACATATGCTTGAATCCCCCCATTCTACTCCGTACTTCCGACCTCTATGCTTTGAGGAAATAAAGGAGATTTACCCAGCCCATGTTCTGCAATTCCGCGCCACCATTGCCCTCGAGAAGACTATAATTCTGTTATTTGATCTATGAGGGAAATTAAGTTTTAGTTTCAAGTCAGCCTAAACGGACAGCGTCTCCGTCTGAAGAAATGGATTTCAATTCAACAAGTCTCACAGAGTAAGGACTAGACAACAGCAAATCATTGACTGTTAGAAGAG